AATATGAATAGTTACCATTTGTAGAAATGCAATCATTTTTTGAAACCATTTGAAGTGAAAAATATTAATACTATAAACCTACTTAATTGATTAAATTAAATGAATTCGAAATGACATGGACACAGTCTTTTGAAATATTTGGAAATAATCAATTGTGAATTGCTTTATATGCAAAATTTGCAATGCAAATAACTTCTTCAAAATATTAGAATATTCACAGACATCATTCTCTCACCTCACCAATGAGTTGAAACAATAACCCAAAAATATTTTGGTTTCTTCTTGACTGCCTTTTCTCTCTGTGCAAGTTTACCACTTCTATTTGGCTGGTAGTAAAATCATCTAATTCTGAAACCATTTCTTCCTGGAAAAGAGATAAATTAACACAATGCATAAAGTGCTCAATGCACACATTTTCCAGCTGTATTTTTGAAAACAATTGTATGTAAGATTAATTAACTTTATTTTAAAAAAATAATTGTATTTCAGATTTGTGAATTGAACTTTTAGATATTGTAAATTGCAATTCAAGCTCCCCATATTCTCCGATGTTAAAACCGATGTAAGTCTAGTTCTTGCTAAAGCATTAGTAAAAACGGATTGTCGAATTGCTGACAACAATCCTCCTGGCATTTTGGAAATCAAAGATTTTTTTTTACTCGGAGAAAGTTATTGATTTGAAAAAACAAAATTCTAGGTGACGATCGCTTTCGATGTAAAAACTTCGAGAGTCCTTCAAGAGTCTTTGCTCCCCTCTGGATCAAGCTCCCGTGCCTGATAGCTTGGTAAAGCCATAGTGCAGTGCTTGCGAACTCAATGCTCCGTGACGTCACAAAAATCTGCTCTGCTCCGAGCCGAGTCGCGGGACTAGAAAAGTGCCCGACGCCGCGGCGGGCATACAGTGTTCTAATGAAGTTACGGAAGTGGAGAAAAAACGTTCGTTCTATTATTACGTTTTTAAATTGTAATTAATATTTAAATGTTCGATTCAATAAAAATATGAAAAATAAAAAAAATAGAACATCGATTATTACTTAAGTCAAAGCAATATCCCTTTCTGGCTATAGTAACCAGTACTTTTAATTCCACCTTCAATATTCTAGTACTGAATATTTTTACAGAAGACAGTTTTAACATACCAATACAATAATATTTTATAAAATGTTATATAATATAACAATTTTAGTTGGTCCCAAACCAATAATTATTGTTCACAAATACTAGATACAAATCGAGACCCGGGAGGGGTCACTTGGAAGAATTTGGACTCAGGGCAGTTGTTGGTGTTATGTGCAGTTCATGTGCAGTTTTGTTTGAGAATATTGTAAATACTCGCGATTTTTAGAAACTTTTTCATATTCTTCCATCTGCAAAATCCTGTACTCATCTCATGATTACATCCCATTTTGAGAATTTATTTTAATCTCGCGGGTTTCACTGAGTTTCAAACTGCATAATGATTCTCTAAGTTGAAATTTTTAACATACTACAGTTCTTTTGAACACTCTAAACACTTCGGCATTTCTACGGTATCTGCAAAAAGAAACATTGCTTCCAATAACGAAAGAAAATTAACGGACGTAAACGGGCTCTCTCGCTGCCTGGAACACGGGCAATGGCCCAGTGCGAGCTCTGCTGTTGTCGGGATCCTGACGCTAAAGTAAATAGGTCTCTGTATAAGAATTAATTCGTCCATCGTTCGTTAGATTCACCTTGCATCAAAACTATTGCAACGGTTTCGAGAAAGGAGACAATGAACTGAATGTGTGTTGCTGGGCGATAAGTTTACGAGCCTCTGATAACTCAGCCCACAAACTTACTGATCGACACGGGTCGGGCGCGTGGGATGCGGTTCATGGGACCACAGTGTCGCGCCGCCCATCGGTCTGCAAGGCCCTGCTATTCAGTTCGTTTTCTGTTTAATAATTGTACACAAGGGTAGAAAGTTTCTTCGGAGTACATTGTTCTGAATGTTTTCAATTCATTATTAAATAGGAATCTGTCGTTACCGGTGAAGCAAATCTCGCAGAGTTCACCCCGGAAAGAGCTCGCTGACAAGGGACAACTACAAACGCCAGAAAAGAAAAGAAAGCGGAAGAAACTGTGATTTCAGCATACGACTTTGTATTCAGTTCTGTTCGATCTAAAGCGCATTCCTTGCATCAAAAGGGAAGAAGTGTAGAAACGAAACACCAGCGCTTGCGAAATTTTTCAGCTTGTGAATTGTGATTAAGATCATCCGAATTGTAGGGCAGGGAGGTAATGCCTGACGAGATATTCTCGTCACACTCTTCACACTATGGATCTCATAATATTGAATTCCCTAATGATTTCCGAAATGGAATGACTCCTGCGTCTAGCTTCTACAACCATTCTGCGTTCATAGTCTGTTAATTTCCGTCATCACGTCAGAAACTTTTTCACCTTAGTAACTGGAGTACAAATGAAAGCTCTGGCAGTGCACTGCCTTTTTATATATTTTTCACGCGATACTACTGCCATTGGTATATTTGTGTATTGGAATCCCATGACTTTGTCACTTCATTGTATATTAATACTGCAATTTCTGTCCATATTAATAATACTTATAAAAATGTTCACCAATCACTGCACATTAGAGTGAAAACTAATACATTTAATGGAAATACATCAACATGAATTCCGCAATCCATTAATGCGTCAAAGTAATTCTGATAATTTCAAACAAGTGGGGCTAAAAAGCACTATTTGTTATTCGCACTTAGTAAAGCTTGTGGAATATTATATTTAATTTCTTGAAAAACTCATTGCAAATCATTAGATTTAAATGTTAATATACGATGCGAACACGGGTTCTGACTACACAACGTTTTAAAGTAATTGACTACATATGGGAACAAGATTTATCAACTTTTTCATTAGCAGCGCCAGCAACATGAAGTTTTCTGTCGAAAAATCGTGATTTTCTGGTGCTCATTTACAATACTTTCTCTTCTTACGAAAAAGGCGAGAAAGTAAAAGCGTGTCGCAACGTTATCACCGTCGTAATTCGACCTGCTATTTTGTAAATGATTCCCAAATGCAGTAAAAGATACTCAGAAAATTGAAATTTGCAATTTCGAAATTGAAAATATTTTACTCGAAATTCCTCATGTCAAAAATATTGTACATGACCTTATTTAAAATTTTAATTTCGATTAACAGATTTTACAAAGGAAAATATCTCCATCATCAATATTGTAATTTTGGAATGTAATTTTTTTTCAATTTTCTTAAATACATAGTGTTTACTTAATATAAGCCCTATCCAATTTTTGTAAGCTTCTCTTTTGGAATGGAAAATTAGAGCCATTTTACAGAAAATAGTTTTTATTTACCTTAAATGTAAGCAAATATTAAGAGAAAACTACTCGTTTTGTAAAAAACAGTCTCTGGCTATACTTTAAGATCTGGTTTTTTAGAACATAGTTTATTAACACAAATTCTGTATTATTAATATTCTAGTTTGGAAATTTTAATGTTTATTATAATTGAATATAATATTCGAAAATATATAGAGTTTATCGAAAGTGACACTTGGCATTTTTATAACATCGATGTGTTCGAGAAAAGAATTAAAGAAAAAAATTAGTGTCTTTTTCAGTAAATAATAGATTATAAATTGCCAATATTATTAATTAAATCGTGGTGAAAATTAGAATGATTCGCTTCATCGTGATAGGTTTTCTTAAAATAATTTACTAAACGATTTATTTTACAGATTAAAAAACATGCGAAAAATTAATCGATAATATAGGACTAATCGATTACTTCGAAACGATTAATCGAAGGAAAGATCGATTAGACATTAATCGATTATTATTTAATAATCGCCGCTCCCTAGTGTGCAATGTGCCGTACCTGCGCATCGCCTACTGCTGCGGTGGCAGCATTGGCCAGCACAACGGCCGCCAGGGCCACGGCAATTAGGCGCTGCGCGAGCATCTCCGCTGGTTCAGCAGCGGCTCTGCAACACACACAAAGATAATTTCGACTATGACTTTGACACTTTGGCACACGTTTTCTTCCAGTCAAATATAATTTGATACGTTTGTATCCGAATTAATTTTCTCTACGACCTTTTGACCCTAGATTACAAAGGCGTCTTCTGTCAGACGACAAAACTAGTGTCGAAAGCTTACCCCACCTCCTTACCCTGACTTCCCGCTTCTGAAACTCTGTGTACCTTCATTATGTGACACTCCAGTAAAATACACGTAACGTTGAGGGCGTGCCTATTTCCGGCATACGCCATTTTAACACGCTTCGTCGAGTACGGAACGCCTTTGTTGTTATGTCAGTGATATTATCGGCGCTATATTGGCTAATACTGTAAATTTTGATTACAAACTTCTTGTTTTGTAGCATTTAAGTTTGGTTATGAACATTTAGCAATCATAATGGGACGGTATAGATCATAAATAAGGTCCCATGACAAGGTACTACTGCGGACGTTTCACAAAAGCCATGTGTGAACTGCTCCTAGTAAGTGCCTACTGTGAGAAGCAAGTCATTTAGATGTACATATCTACAAAAACCTTCAAAATTTATTTTTTAACTCCATATACTACATGTGAGGTCCATTAATTTAGTGCTTCATTGTAAAAATGAGTTTTTCTTTATTTTTACCTAAAGTAGATTACCTTCTTTGATTTAAATACTCGAAATCACAATTTCAACTTCGCCGTCATGCGAAATTGTATGTGCTAGCGTGGACTCCCCGACAACGCCTACTAATCTTCTGCTATTCACCGTTTATTTTGTATTCGTTTAGTCTCGAGTATGCCAGCCGCAAGGGTCAAATATCAATTATGAATCTTGTGTTGCATACTTGAATGTCGAAGAAAAAGTACAGTCTTCTTCTCGCAGATAATAGCTATTATTCACTCGGAAATTACGACACCCGCTTTTACGTCGCTCATGTCGTAAATATTGTTTAAACATAATGAAAAGTATATACATGATAATATAAGTTATTAATATAAATAATAAGGAAACGATAAACAACGTATACTGCAACCGTTTACCGTAAGTGTATCATTATTTGCTATAATCATACAAGCCCTGTCAAAGTTTTCGCTGAAAATGCTGCATTGAATTTCTAAATTGGAGCATCTGTTAATTTTTGCATACGATCCGTTAATACAAGTAACACCACCACCACCACCGATTGGGCATGTGAGTCTGCACAATCGCTTCCACACTATTTATGGCGCTCTGGCCATGACAATTGAATCGTTTATTTCCGAAACTCATTCCTCATCCCGAGAAAACTAAAAAAAAAAAAAAAAAATCCCAATTTATCTGATTTCAAAATATTTTCATTTATTAAAGCAGGTGATAAATAAATATTTTTCATATAAATATGAACTGAACAGTGTGCCTATTTTCTTGGAACAATAATCTGCCGCTAATGAGTGTCTTAGATTTTGGCGTTTGACGGGTTTCTGAAATAAACCAATCAAATGCGAGAGTAGCTAAGTGCACACACGCGCGCGTCCATCTCACGTGTGTAAGAGGCACGCAGGTCTTGTGCGCGTCAGTCACGCGCCTCGTACGCTCACACGTGACTCACGAGGACGTGTGCGTGCGGAAGTTGCTAAACAAATTCGAAGAGACGCACAATTTCGAACTGCATTCTCAGGAGTTTTATTTATTTATTTATTTATTTATTTATTTATTTATTTATTTATTTATTTATTTATTTATTTAAAGGGTCCATGGTAGATCAATGAAACATTTTTGTAGCACGTTTATGTGAAGTGAAACAGAAGTATCTTATAGATCTTCATCTTTATTGTATCCTAATCTTTTTCTGCGGTCCAGATATTGTGCTAGTATGATGGAAGTTGAGGAAAAGGTTCGCGACAATCTTGCAATAGGTTTTTATACAAAAGTATTTTAATGAAGTGCCTTCACAATACCGAACAAAAATCATGAATACTCTTTTTATTTGGAGACTGCTAGTACAATTGATTTCTCGTCAAAACAATCCGTTATGGAGATATAGCGTGTTTTTGCTTCTTTCGAGCGCGCAACTCAACCGTTCTGTGCTGCGCCGCGACACATGGTACAGATTTGCGGCGTGGAGTAGGAATATGTCGATAGTGGTACGTGCTAGCCATGAATACGATAAGGAAGAGATTCAACTGAGGAGGCGGGGATGTGCATGAAAAGCGTCGGCAGCTAATCAGTGTATCTGAACATCAGTGACAGCACGAGGTCAATGGAAAAACCTTTAAAGGGATTTTCGGCCAATGGTCACCAAGCTCATGTCAACGCCATTTACACTTTTGTGTTTGTAAGTGTCATCTGCAACAGATGTCGTCGGTCAAGTACGTGTGTGCCAAGGTTATTATGCACATGTACAAGTATAATGACCTTGGTATATGAATGTCATTATTATTAGTCCAAAAAAGCCGAGATAAGTTTCTTCATTTTCCGCGTGATATCGCTGAAGTTCATTTGAGCCATCGCACTCTGGAATACCAGGCGGCACTGGTTGAGCTGCGGACGTTTTACGTACATACACCAACCATGCTTTCAATACCGGAGTTGACTCCTTCTTACAGTCTTCATGGTCCTGGGCAGCACCGCGGTTTTCCTACTGCGAGTGGCACTAGTTCTCCTCGCTCCCAGGTGCGGCGAACATCGCGTCCTTCTACCGTCGCCGAAGCACGAAAGGCTGCTCCACCACATGGCCCGATTAAGACAAAGAATATTTAAATAACGCGCCAGGAAGCAGATAAGAAAGGGAGAGTTATTTACGTGCGTCATCCACATTTTTTGTGGATGACGCACGTAAATAAAGAAGAAGCGGGAGCGAAAATGTCTAGTTTTCAAATGTTGCTGATCTCTCTTTGTTGATCCTTTTATTCATCATTCAGCTATTTATGGTAAAGGATGGAGAAGAGATTCTGGAGCTGAAGAAAACGTACGCAGATTGCACTTCTCACCTACACGGCACATACAGTTTTACTGTTTTTGACGAAAAATAAATGCAATCTAACAAATCGAAATCTTGAATGAAGGTAAGAAATCTTATAGGTGGAAAATTTGCAGTGGCAACCGGTACGGAATTCTATTGGTGGTGCCAGTTAGCGATGTGACATCGATAACAAAACGTGGATGTTAAAATTATAACATCGATGTTAATAAAACATCGATGACAACTAAGTGTTTTTAAACATCGACGAGATATTTTAATGATGGTATAGTAATCTCTAAATTAAAAATTTGTGAGCAACAAAATTTTATTTTACCGTGATTATGTTTATTAACTTATAATGAAGAGTAAATGAAATCAAACGAAAATAACAAATAAAAATACTCAGCCTGATAGATTGAGCGCCCACAGTAATCTCAAGAGGTCACAGCTTCCTGAGTTCGCTGAAGAAGGGTACGGGAAGAAGACGGGAAGCCTTACGCCCACGGCGTATGCCGCCTCTCCATGTGCGAAACAAAAGGAAAGACGTGCGAAATACCAGGGCATTGGGGTCATCTTGAGTCTACGGGATGAAGACAGTCCACTCTATGGTGGAGAACGTGAACTGCTGTGCCAATCCGAATCTGGCACCGTTTCGTCCATAAGAGACGCATATAAACAGCGTTATACGCATATATACAGTGTTAAAAGGGCATAGACGGTGCGAATCCGTAGTATCTCAGAGATTCAGGAGGAGGCCGACAGATTTTTTTAATCCCTTAAGACATATTTCTTAATACACAATGCGATTTCTCTTTCTTAATACACAATATGATAAACAAACGTCATGAATTGTAGGGTGTATCTATAACACACTGTGCGTACAAAACGTTTGAAGAGAAAATATGGATCAGTTTATGAAAATATCATGCTTTTAATATTTCTCATTTTTTTCTAAAAATTGGGCACAAGGTTCTCGTATTTAAAAAAAAGGTTCATGCCATTAATTAAGAAACTAATTGTTGAAAACAAATTATGTTTGAAGAAAACGTGTCTATATTGTAGTGGTACGAGGCGGTTCAAAATATTTGAAACTTTTCCCGTTTTGGAAATTCACGTGTAACAATGCAAATAGGAATTGTGCAACTTTGGTGGCGTAAGCTTCCTTGGCTGTGGCCCTTCCTTGGCCAACGATTTGATTGTCGAGCTGCAAGCAGCATGACGACCGAAACGTTTGCATCTGCGCCATAGAACGCGGCATATCCTGGACAGCCAAGTAGATACAGTGCAACTTTATAACACTCTGTAAAAGGAATTGTGCAACTTTACAACTTTATATCACTCTGTTTTTACAAGAACATTTTTTTAAAAGCCATTCTTGAGATTTTTAAAAAAAAATTCTCAAGAGCTTCATGAACCCCGAAAATTAGATAATTCTTTTCGAAATAGTATGATTTTGAGTCTACCAGATAGTTGTGGGAAATTTGTTTTGAACCAAAATCGTGCGGTAAATCATGCGGGTCTTCTGCGGTTCACATACGGACGAACGGACAGACCGATGGACAACCTGGCCGGGCAACCTGACACGGTGCACGGCAGCTATACGGAAAGAAGCCAGCGGACGGACGAAATGACAGACGGTCGAACAGACTTGCTTCGGCCAATTTACGGTATGAAGGACCAAAACACGGATATTGAGAACGTGTCAGAGGTTATTTACTTGGAACGTAATTTATCCACTTTTACAGGATGAGGGCCCTATAACATGAGATTCTGTGTCGTCAATTTCTGTAAATATCCGACATGAAGGAAATTTCTTACGAACAGGCTGGACGGGTCGGTCAGACGGACAGGCAGACGGGCAGGAAGACGAACAGCCAGCCAGAGGGACGGGTGGGAGGACGGAGAGACAGTCGGGCGCAGAGAGAAAAATGGCCGGTCTGACAAAAGATGGATGGACGAACTCTTTTTCAGCAGACCATGTATTTCCGATAAAGGCTTTAATAAAGCATTATGTAACTCACTCTTAATCTAAGCATACT